ACACAGAGCTGGTGCAACAAGCCACAGCTCTAGATGTTTGTATTGTACTGTAATGATAAAACTTTTCTTGCACCTTCTGCACTTTACACTCAGAATGGATTAAATGATTGATTGAGTTAATGCTTAATTAACTGACTGTGAGGGGATTTTTATCGAAGCAACAGCATTTTCTGTGGGACAAAACGCGCAACTTTGGTATTTGAACAAAAGTAGGAGTATCAAACTATGTAGATCAAAAGTAGGAGTATCAAACTATGTAGATCTCCATTAAACTACTTCCATCCCTATGTTGCTTTTTATCAATATACAGTATAGGGAAGCATGTGACGCTGACTGATCTCAAACAACCTCATGCTTCCCTGGTTGATTGACAGAAACTGACACAGATACCAGCATTATTCATTCAGGTGCTAGAATTGATGTTGAGAGAAACTCCCTTTGTTTACAATCACTTCGAGACATCTAATTATCAAAGGCAGTACAGTGGTAATCCCTCACACTTGTATTTCTTATCAGTGATAATGTGTTCCCACCAATCAGCATAGAGTAAGTGCAAAGGTAAACAATGGTTAACATCAATGTTAGCTAGCGCTTCAGCTAAATCACCGAAGTGCTTTACCTGACATTTTTTACTGTGCCAACATAAGTGTATAGTGGCTGCAGATAAATTGGGAAAAAAACTAAAAAATCAAACAGCATGGCTTCTTTATTGTTATCATTTGAATGGCAGCTTTTTTTGAAAAACTCATCATATTAAAATCTCTATTTTTGTCATTGTTTTGTAATAAATGCATATCTTAACAGACATAAAGATCATTTATATTTTTGTGTCAATATTTGATTCGGGAAAGTCATTTCAGTCAATAATCCTGACACGACAATATCATTACCCAATCAAAGGCACTAATCCATGATTGATGTGCCATCATTCATTGTCAGTAGTTGTTCCAGATTGCATTGTGATCAATCAAAAGTAGCCTCCACAGCCCTTAGTTGCTAAACCAGCCCAACAATCAGTGCAGCTATGTGGTTTGGTTGCTACCCCCTGGCCCTTTGTCAGATACAAAAGAGATTAAAAAAGGGAGTAGATTCAACAAACAGGCTAATCACTTGTTGAATAAAAAGGCTAGTGCAGAATAAGCTTGTCATCCCATTAAAATAGAATGGATTTAATAGAATAGGCTAAGCTAATCTTGTTGTGTGTCAACAGTAATGTATTGTGGTCATCAATAGAATACATGCACAAGAAGCTTGTAAGGTAATACAGCGGCTTTTTCCGTCACTTTTACTGGAAACAATGGTGTTGAAAGACCACTCCCCTAAAGATTCACAGCCTCGGTCCCTGAAGAATTTTATCAACTACAGTTTATGAATTGTTCTGGATCTTGACCCCAGAGAGTGATCCGCCTCTAGAGCATCTTCTTTTTTTATCTCTTCAGCTTTTAACATCTCAATGCATCACCCATGAAGTTCTATGAGCCTGATATTTATTAATTTTTTAATCATGAAAGCTCTTGTGTTCGATTGTCAAGCAATGATGTTTGATTCATTCAGAAATGGCCGAGCAAGACCAAATGTGTTAAGCATAATCCATCCAGAATTACTGTGAAACATAAGAGGAATTCCTGCTCAGAACTCTATCATCTTCCTCCCATATCAAATTGTTCAGCGTTCTGGGCGACAGGTTGATTTTAACATGCATGTCAGGCAGGAAGTGTCACACCATCAACCAAACATGATTCTAAGCCCCTGCTCGTATTGTTTGGGATTTACTGTTTCTTGCCTTACACACCTTACAATGACGGAAAATAAAGATTTCCCTGAAACCTGCTTATAAAACTGTGTTTGCATGTGTCTACAGTAAATAGTGACAACACAGTCTGTTCTTCATGAGACACAAAGAAGCAGAACTCTAATCAGAAACAGTACAGGTACAGGCGGTTTTATTGTACACATTCAGAGGTTATTTTTGTTGCATAGAAAGCTCACATAAAGAAACTCTGATTCAAATGTCTCAGAATAAAGAAAAACAAAATTATGCCATGGTCTCCTCCTTAACGGTATAGTGGACTTGGAGTTTGGCAGATACAGGTCAGTTTGGCCCTTGGTGCCAGGCATCTGTGGGGTAAACAACTTATTAGAGCCAGGGGGGAGGGTGTGCATGCGTGTGCGTTATTCATGCATGTGTGTTTGTGTGTGTGTGTGTGTGTGTGTGAGTTTGTTTGGGGGCGGAGGGGTACTTGATGTATCTGTGGGCGTAAACATCACCTGGCTGATTCCAGCACACTCTTCTAGGACAGTATAAATCCACACAGGTGTTTGTGAACAGACAGGAGAAGAGGACACACCTAAACTGTCTGAGTGAATTGAGAACAAGTCAGAGAGAGAGAGAGAGAGAGAGAGACGTCCAAGCTGGAACTAGTCAGTCAGTAAGCTCTGGATGTGCTAACTATCTTGGCTTCAAGTCACACAGGTAAGTCTGGATTAAAAAGGTTGTTTTTTTTATTTTCTAACTCTAACATCTTTAATGCTAGGATGGTTAAAATGATTCATATGAGTGTACCAATACAGTCCTTGCAGAGAAAACTGGAAATGTTCCTTTATGGTTTTAAAAACAAACAGATATTATAAGGGAAATAAATCGGTTGGATAAATTTTCCTATCACTATATAAACAATGATAGAGAGCCTTTTATTTTTTAATCACACTGACATGAGAAAGCATTTTCCGAAAATTCAGAAGTATGGCGTGTAAGAGACTTATTCCAGTAATATCTCCTCTCAGTCAATGTAATTCTGAACCCTGCTGTTGCAGGAATTATGTAAGAATTACTGAAGGCAGATATCCATTGACTAAGTAAATCAGAAAGATTCCTACTTACTTCTAAAATGATGATAAAAAAAGCTACCGGAAATAAACGTAAAAGTATTATTGTGCGTGTAAGATGGACCAAATCTTTGAGTCTTATTTGCGATGAATGATTGAATGCAGCACTATCAATGCACTACTTACAAACCTATTTTTTAGTTGTTTCCACTTAATTGGATTATTACAATGACTGAGGATCGTGGGAATTTAGACATATGTTTTAAAATCTTAAGATTTTGAATGCTTTAAACCTGAGATCTTTAAGTACAGTGACTATGAATCAGTGCGTACAACCATCATCCAGTGGAAATCATGAGAGAAATCTAACGATAACAAAAGTAGTTAAAACCTTTTTTCTAATAAGACTGTTATTCTACCCTTTGCACTGTCAGAGAAGGCCATTATTGCATTGTAGTTTTAAGATTAAGATACTTTGACTAGGCTGTAGCAGACCTTGAAGCTCTTTTTGTGCGCACACTTCACACTAGATCACTTTCTCCACGTTAGCCATTTCCTTTGGTGGAGATAGTTGTCTTTTAATGCAAAGCAGCAATTTACAGTAACTTGTAATACATACCTTCAACATACCTAACACCCGAAATTACTCCTGCACAAATCTTTTACCGCATGGAAGAAATGCTGACCTAATGATAAGGTATGGAATGACTCAGATTACCTACAAAACGGTCTCAGTCTGCAAACAAGCCATATAGTGTTATTATCAGATTTCTAAAGGCAAAATGACTGGATGTACGATTCAAGGGGTGAAAACAAAAACTCACTGCACTGAGCATTTTGTACTCCTTCACACTCACTAACAAGCATGCAATGAGCCAAACAGGTAGTTTGCATCATGACTTGGCAAGCACACAGGCAATACTTATTTGGAAACCTCTGTACAGCCAATATTGTCAGTTACCATCCATCAAGTGCCAGACTTATGAGAGCTCAAGCCTTGAATAATGTCAAAGACTGTTATGTCCGTAAACCAGTCTTCTGGCAGGGGTTTGTGCAAATTATTTTAATACCGTGTTTATTTTTGCAGCATTGAAACCAAGCAAACAAAGCCGATCCTTGTGTTGAGACACTCATATGGGATCAAAATCAGCCCAATTTATTTGTGGAGCACTCACTGTATATGTTGCACTTTTGTGGAAACTTTGTTCCTCATTAACTTCAGGTCTTAACTGCAGTGCTTCTTCTAGTGAAGATTATAGCCTTTGAGTGAGGATTAAAACTGCAGTAAGAGGGAGCAGCTTGTTACATGGGAGACTACATAAGCAGTATAAAGTGAGACTTAGCTAAGGCAAAAAAATAAATTGAAGCAGAAAAAACACGAGAGATATTCAGTCCAGAACAGTTGTTTTCAGAACATACTGTGTAAAATTTGATTATCTTGGCACCCAGGGCTCCTACAAATGTTCAGTTGTTAAAATTGTAGTTTGAGAGACTTATATCTGTTTCGTTGCAAGTCTAATTTGTTGCCTTAAGAACATCATTAACAACATACTGCATTATTTATGCATTATATCCATTATAAGTATTCCCTGTTTTTTCTGGGAGTCTAACTAAAGCATCTAATCAGCATCTTAGAAGCATGAACAAGTTGACCTTTTACTGTTTTATTGTATTTCATACAGTTTGTAAGAGCCAGTTTGTAATAAAGGGTTTGGTTAACTTGCCAATTGCATTTATGACAGATTTTATTTTAAAATGTTTTTTTTTTCTCGATATATCTCAAGGATTGTTACTTTATCTACCTCAAGGATTGTTTGTGCTGCAAACATTTAGTTAGATCCAAGTTGCAGATTTTTGTCTTTTTTTTTGTCTTAAGGAAACTAGACAGTGTAGAGAAGTATTTTCAACATACAAAGAGTTTATACTCAGTGTTTAAGCTCTTGTGAGGAACTTTTGGTTTGTGTCAATTTTTCAGCCCCTTGTGGACAAGCAGTCTTTGCTTATCTTGGCCTCTTTATGCTAATGCAGTTTTTTCTGACAAACAAATCTTGTCATTCTGACTTTTGACGAATTAAATTAATCTTTTCTTGTTATATAAATGTTTCTCTGTTATGTATTCCATTGATGGTGAACTAATTTCTTTCCCTGTTTCATTGTCTCAAAGGTCTAAGAAAATGTTTGGATTTCTAAACAAACGTATCCAGGACTGTCTGCTGGAACGCAAAAGCCGCAGAACCAGACTCGTGACCAAAGATGGTCGCTGCAACATCGAATATGGAAACTTTAAATACAGCAAACATTTTGCCTTCCTGGCCGACTTCTGGACCACCTTTGTGGAGATCCGATGGCGTTTTGTTCTGTTCCTCTTCATCGCCTCCTTCACCCTCAGCTGGTTCATTTTTGGCCTGCTGTGGTACTGGATCGCCCGCAGTAATGGAGACCTGCCGTGGCAAAATCCTCCATTAGGCCACACTCCATGTGTTGAAAATATTGAAGGACTCACCACAGCGTTCCTCTACTCCCTCGAAACCCAAACCACCATTGGGTACGGTGGACGAGCACTAACGCCTCTCTGCCCAGGTGCTGTGGCCCTGATCATCATCCAGTCTCTCATTGGAGCCATAATCAACTGTTTTATGTGTGGAGTCATCCTTTCCAAAATCTCTTCACCCAAAAAGAGAGCCAAGACCATCACATTCAGTGACATGGCGGTCATTTCCCCAAAAAATGGTACTCTCAGCCTGTCAATAAGAGTGGCCAACCTGCGCAAGACCCTGATGATTGGAAGCCAGATCTACGGCAAGCTGTTGAGGACAACAAACACACCAGATGGGGAGACAATCATTATGGACCAGGTGAACATCGACTTCATGGTGGATGCTGGAAAGGACAACCTCTTCTTCATATGTCCTCTTACACTCTACCACACCATCGACAAGAGCAGCCCCTTCTTTGATATGGCAGTAGACACACTCAACAAGCAAGAGTTTGAGCTGGTTGTCTTCTTAGATGGTACAGCAGAGTCCACCAGCTCCTCCTGCCAAGTCCGGACCTCCTTTATTCCTCAGGAGATCATGTGGGGTTACAACTTCCTGCCCATCATCTCCAGGAGCAAGGAGGGCAAATACAGAGTAGACTTCTCCAACTTCTCCAAGGTGGTTCCAGTGGCCACAGCCCACTGTGCTTACTGCTTCCACAATATCAAAGGTCATCATCACCACTCCAAAGATGGGCGTGACAACCAGGGCTTTGAGGTGATTGATATCAACGATCCCCCAAATGTCACTAAGATGTGAGGAGATGGACATGTTGATAAAGACAACAAACTGAGAATAGCAGAGGCTTCTACCTCTTACTGAAGAACTCAAGACTCCAAAGCCCTAATAACTTTAGGGTCAGCAGGGGTTACCTAATGACAGACACTGCATTGTGTGGCATTTAAATACCTAAAAACCTACTTATTTGTAATTCTATTGTGTTTAACACAGATAAGAACGACGTCTGCGGGGAAGGACAGTTATTGTGGACTATTTGAATGTCAGACCACACCTGTCACTGTCTGCTAACCAAAAACCTGTTTTAAAAAGGGAGGCCAGGTCATGCTAGGTGGATAAGCTACTGATCAAAATCAGGAAAAGAAAGTGTCCTCGAACACTTACCCGTGAGCTTGTGCTGTACATAAATTTTAGTTGTTCTTATTTACCTCTGGCCCTGCACATTTGACCAACTGAGTATAAAAGAGAAAAACGAAAGAAAAAAAAAAGTATTACACTGTTTATGTTTGTTAGTTACTTGAATGACCAGTGTTTGGAGCCATGCTGTTATGAATTCATGCTACTGTAAGATGCTGTGCCAAAGAAGACATTTGGACTTCAACCACTAGAGTATACTTGAATGTTCAGAAACTAAGGCAGAGGCAGAAAGTTGGACTCAGTGGCTTCACTTGTAAACAGTGGAGGGAGATGTGGTTCTCTTCTTAAGTGAAGACATATCCAGAGAACAAATATCCCAGGAAACACTTAATTTTTGGCAGCATGCAGTGCTGTTCATAGTTTGAAAATCAGTAATATTTGTAAAGACTTTTTTTTGTATTTGATCTCATGGGTGAATTACACTACAATAAAGGATATTTTTGAAACAAAACAGAAAGTCTTTGTCATTTTATCCTCTGTCACAATGAAAGGTGTCTAACAAGGGCTATGATCAAAAAGGTCAAAGCAACATAATACCAGGTACTTACCCTCATCAAGGCTTTTTATCTCTAAACAAGGTAAAGTTGTGACAGCAAACAGGGATTCACAGATCCATGACAGAGTGAAAGTGTTTGGGAGACAAGAGCCGCCGCACGCTGCTTATCATTTTACAGGTTCTGAACAGGAAACCAGAACTTTCCATTCAAAGAAATACTTTACGCCTAAATGCAGCTTAAACATGTTTCATGTGCACATTACACTGTGACCCCTCTTAGAAACTACATATCTGCTTATTGTCTAATCTATATCTGCAATCAAGGATATGACTTTAGTGGGGGACTAGATATTGAAAAGGAGTGTGAAAGATTTCAACCAGGCAACAAAGAGGAAAAGTGCATGTGATACACAACCCCAACTACAGTATCTGCTGTCATTTTATATTGGCCTGTGGAGCATGTCTGTTTTTTTTTTTTCAGGACACACGAGTAAAGCAATTTGCGAAACTAAAGCTGCCACATAACACAGACACCAATTGCAAAAAAACTGGTTGTTAAAGTACTGATATCTATTATCTAAAGGTGTGTGCAGAGATTAAGAAACCGTCATGTCACATTCACACTCTGATGGCAAAGGCTGCTTTGTATAGAACCCATCAGTTTTTTAATCATCCTGTTCACACACCTCTGAGTCAAGCATCTTGCACTCCAGCATGTGAACAGCCCTGGAATTGAACCCCCGACCATTTGATTGGGAGCCACAGCTGCCCAGAAAGATGTACTTTTTCTGCAGGTGTCACTGTAATAACCAAATACAACATTATTTTAACCCTTTGCTCCTACATAATAAGTGCACACAGGAAAGGAGAACAGTAGGTAGATCAACAGGTAGGAAGGCCATCAAATCACTTTCTCTAGCCAAGAGGTGAACAGTCCCATTCATATTCACATGAATGGGACCATTTATTCCCTCTAAATAAAAAGGCAAATGTGTTTCATTTGTCTGAGTGCTCTGAAGCTCAAAGCAGGCTGTGGTCAAAGACTTAAGAGGTAAAAACATTTATTTTGTCACATTTTCCTATACAAAAGCCCTTTTTCAAAAGGTAATACTTCATACATTGCAGAAATGACAATAAAAATAATACATTGGTTAATTGTAAAATTATACACATATATTTATATATATTTATATATATTTGATATCCAAAATACATTGCATATACGAAGTAGCACAAATCCCCTTCCATGGATAATGCTTATAAAACATGAAAGCTAAAGGTTCATTAGAACAATTTCTTTATGCTACACATAACACATCCCCTCTCTTTGTTCTAGTAAAGCCATGAATTTTTCAGGAGAAGTTGTGAATAGCATCAATGCTTGTATTATTTGCATAAAATACCTGAAATTCTTGAATAAACAGGAAAAGCCACCCAGGGCTATTTGGCATAAAAATGGATTCACAATGGAAAAGATCCATCATGTTGCATACAGAGTAAAGGAATCCCCGGCTATTGGATTATGATTTAAGCAGACTATTGTGGGTCATAAAATAACAGAAAATACCCTCTGTGCATAAATTCACTTAGGATGTTACAACCAAATTTCAGAACTTATAACAATTACAAAATACAAAACTGGTAACATGTATTGCCCAAATGTACAGATATAAAATGCTTACAATGCTGAACAAACTACTAAGCAGAAATGGACTTAAAAGGTTTGCATTTTTGACCGAGGTCAACTCGTATTAATTCTCTTGACTTTTTATACTGTGTCACATATGAAAATAACTCTGCATAATTTATACAGTAAGTTGCTTTAATGCCTAGTTGTCTGATGCTTATAAAATAGTACAAAATAGGTCTGACAAACGCACAGCGTTTGCGAATCTGAGGATTTATTTGTTTAATCTTGTCAAACTTTGTTGGTTTTGTTCTCTGATAGACTACTTAGTCCTAAGTAATTCATTCATAAAAGGAATACATTTGCAGCCATGACCACCTGAAGATGGATATGTAATGATATGATAAAAATCCTGACTCCAGAATCATGTGCATTTGGCTGGGCTTCAGATCAGTGAGACACTAACATTCAAACACATCTCCTGCTTGCAAACTAGGATCCAGCCCTGGTAAAATGCGACTTAACTGTCCATCAGCATGATTTACTGCCAGGCCTCCACTCTGTACTGACCTACGGTCCTGACTGGCCTATGAAGAGGAAAGAGACAGTGTGGCAGCCATTACTTTCAGGGTGCACGTCAAAATCAAAAAGTGTCAGATTTTTGGTAAGTCAAGGAGATGATGATTATGTGATCGTGCATTTAGGATGTAATTAGTTTGTGTCATAGAAATACAAAAAAAAGCATATGATATAAAACAGCAGTTAAGGCACTGTGAAGGATATGTTTGTCTGAGTAACGTTATAAAATAGGATGCATTCGTGGCACTGTCAGGCACTTAATGATAAGAAAAACATCCTAACAGCACATAGTCTTTTTCTGAAGATAACATCTACATCAACACTTCTGCAAAAAGGCCCTTTTTCAGTCTAGATAATGATGTGTACAGCAAACAGGGCGTCTGAAATCTAGTTTTTTTTTTTTTCAACAAAATAAAAACATCTGACAAATTTTGATTTTGCTGCAGGGTATCCCTTTTACACATGTTTCACAAACCAGAAGACATTCACATTAATACTGACATGGTCGAGCAACAAAACATCTGGAAATAGCTTGGCTAAAAGGCAACAACATGGCAAACATCTAATAGCCTAGTGTGTGGCCCCCTGAAAACATCTGACCTGGGTTGAATTATTGTTGCAGATTACTTCAATTATGTCCTGCCTCAGCTTCCCCTGCACAGTGGAGTCAACTGTACACCTCAGCCATCTTGAACTGCACACACAACACTAAAAGAGCATTTTCAGTAACTAGGTTGACCCAGGTCAGCAAAACATACAGCGCTTCCTTCACTGGCATTTAACTCTTCTCTGGCCTTCCAGTTTGGAGGATAAATTAAATGTGAATGGCATATTCCAGTTGCCAAATTTCATTCAGTGCTGAGAAAAGTCCATCTCTTTGAGAGCTCCTCCTTGTCCAACGAATTTCAGAAGACTCTCCACACACACATAAAAAGATGCAGATGGACAGACAAGCAGACAGAGACAGTGGAAACAGAGGGCTGGAAGTGGTGGGTATAGGAAATCCCTACAGAGCTGTAGAAGAGTGGAAAAAGATAGATGATTTAAGGCATAATGTGCATAATGTACTAAGGATGTAGATTGAGACCCATAAATATTAGGCCCATGTCTGGTACTGTGGTATTGCAAGGAGGCAGACAGATTTCAGATGTTCACCCTGGCCGTAGGCTTCAGGTTGAAAAGGCTTTGGGTAAGAACACCAATAGTTGCATTTGTCTGTTGGACACAAACAGAAAGGCACAGGAAACTTAGATGCATATTTGAAAAATATAAACAAACAGTCGCTAGTCTTGTAAAGGTAAGTAGTATTCCATTTTAGACCATAGCATCCAGTTGTTTGAGATCCTTACAACAACAACAACAAAAATCTCCTACATTTGAATCATCCTTCATAAAGTAGCAAAATTTCTTCAGAGGACAAATACGTCTCTCTCAACAAAGTCTTCATTGGTTCAGCATCATTGTGAGTGCAGGTCAGCAATTGTGGACTTTGTTGGGGCAAAAGGAGGTTTGGGAGGTGGTGAAGGTAAGACTGGGTAGTTTAGTAATAACTACCCAGGTGGGACGGCACATGGGTGTTGGGGTGGCGGGGAACATTTGGGTTGGGGTAAATGCCTGCGGTGGGCGAGCTCCAGTACGGAGCAGTGGGTCCAAAGAAGTTGGAGGATGTTACAGGCATGGATGGAGGGTGTGGGGATACAAAGTTGACCTTCTGCTGATGGGCGTGGTAGGAAGGCACATAGGCTAGGTCCGAGGGGTACTTATACATGGAGGACTCAGTGGGGTGCGGCTGCAGTGCCTGAGCGATGCCGTGGAAATCAAACTTGTAGGCGTAACGCTTGCCGTGCACTTTCGTCATGATATTTTTGTCATAGTAGTAGCGCAGTGCGCGGCTCAGCTTGTCATAGTTCATGTTGGGCTTGCTTTTGCGTTCACCCCAGCGCCGGGCCACCTCATCTGGATCTGTCATCTTGAACTCGCCGTTGGTTCCCTCCCAGGTGATGCAGCCGGCATTAGCGCTGTCTGACAGAAGCTCCAGAAGGAACTGCCACAGCTGGATCTGACCTGAGCCTGATGGTGGACACAAACACAAACAATGATCTTCATGGAGCCACATTAATAGAAAAAGAGACGATTATTCACCCCTCACTTGATGTCCCACTAAGGACAAATTCTTCACTGAAAGGGGAACTGGAGTTGTTCTTGAAGATGTTGCGCCCTTCTTCAAAAAGACTTTTTCAGCTCTAAAGTGACCAGAGCCTAATCTAGAAATTTATAGCCTCTGTTGGTCATCATCATTTCCAACTTTAGCCCCATTCACTTTAGAAGTGAAGAAGCCTTTTGGAAGAGAGCAAGAGAGTTGCCCTTTCAACAAAGAATTGGATAACCATGACCTAGATGAACGAGAACCTACAAATACATCTTGCCTTAAAGGACATTTTTTAAGAAACTCCCATAGCAACTAATTCCAAAGCACTGCAGAGTTATTATAAGACTGAAGTTCGCCTAAAATCTTACCTGGGTTGGCAAGGCGACTGCTGGTTGGACCCAGAATCTGGTAAGGATCTGTGAACAAAAGGATAGCTTTATTTGTCTACTGTGTGGCAAAATGAAAGACTCATTATACTTATTAGTATGACGGTGTAATGAAATGAGCAGTGTCTAAACAGCAGCTGAGGTCTTGTCTAATTCTACCCGTGAAATCATGTTTCAAGGAGAGCTAAAAATAATTGACAAATACTGGCGAAGTATGAGTCTTGTGATAATGTGTCGGGATATTTATTCTTTGCACATCCTTTAAATAATGAACTGATCCATGAAAATGAGAATGTGCTCAGAGATGTAAAGGCTGGAAAAAAAATCTACTAATATTCAGTCCTCGATGGGAAAGTGCTTGTGAAGCACTTGTTACCACATTTATCTCTGCACTTCTTTTATTCAGAGATAGTGTTTTTATTACATTTTCTTACATTAACTTTTACAAATGGCCCGATTTGTATTACACACTGCAAAAAGTAAAACAAGTTTTGTTAATATTGCCAAGGTACAATGCCAATTATAAAAAAAGAGGGGAATTTAAAACAAGGACAAGCAGGGGACCGTGAAGGAAAGCTGGTGTCAATGCTTCAAAGTTTTCATCTTAGGCTGTGTAGCAACAAAGTAAAATAATAAATCAAGAAAGATCCTTGATAGTTTTATACCTGGCTGAGCTCTGGGCTGCTCTGTGGTCTTCGTCACATTCTGGGTAACCACTGGTGAGCCTGCCGAGAGGCAAAAGGAGAGAGAAAGTTGAGAGACAACATCAGTACGGTAACCCTCCACAGCATGAAGTCACAACCAAAGCAAATAAGGCAGCAGTTGGTGGCTGGACTGACTTCTTTGGACAGTCTGTTAATGCCAACATGGCGGTAATCTCCACTAGTGATGGGCATGCCAGTTTTTTGAGATTTACTGAATAACTAGAATCAGTTCACTAAAAAGATTTGTTCAAAAGATTTGTTCGCTGATTCATCAAATCATTTTGGGTTTGGCGGGAGGAGCCTGTGACTTCGACTCCCTCTCTTCTCATTACTCACAGCGTAATGTTTTACATTTGTTTAATTGGGAACTAAATCTGTTAAAACAATGGGAAACAACGGTCGCCATGAAAGTGTATCCCTCAGACAAAAATGATTCCAGAGAGTGTAGTTCACTGCGTGATTCGTTCACCAAGTGATTCAGGCGTCAGTGTGTGCAGTCCCTCGCTCGACGGCTGCTCGCCCAATAATGCTGCGTGATTTAGACGGGTTTCTGTGCAACGTCATCGCAGGTAAAGCGGGACATTTCTTATTTGTTTGCTAGCGAAGTCAACGGGGAAATAAAATGACAAGGAGCTGTTGTGCTGTAAGCTACACGAATCGGCAAAACAAACAATCGGCAAACATTACGACCCTGCTCCTGATATTAGAAACATCTAAAACAAAGTCACAACCTGGTAAATTAAGTGAAATTCATGGATATTTCAGCAAGTGTTTTTCTGATTTTGATGCAATGAAAGACGAAGTGATTTTTCAATGAAATGATATTTTATTGCGATTGCGTCAGGGAGTGATTTGGTTTGGTATGTTCACTTAAAAGATTCGGTTCTTTTGAATGAATCATTCGCGAACGACACAACAGTAATCCTCACTCTATAGCTACTACTCTTCTACACTGTGGATGTCCAAAATGCCTCTGGTACGATGCAGACTTCATATATTGACAACATTCACCGTTGGTACCAGAATACAAGTCGGTACAACAGAAATGCCTCACCTTTGCCACTGTGCATGTTGTTTGACCATCCTGTCCGCCGTACAGCATCATATGATGGATCTGACAATGAGACAGAAAAGAAAGGGAGGTTTGAGAATGTATTACTGCAACATATTTAACAGTGAATATATTTTGTAAGGGCTAAATATGGATCTTATCCCGCAATGTGCTAACCCACCATAAGGCTTCAACTGCAAAAACTTGCAGACCGGTGCCTAGTGGCATTAATAAATCTATCAAAACATGGTACAAGGTGCTCCTCACAGGATATCTGGGCATTGTGACACGTTTTTTGTTTGGCACACTGAGATAGTTGAAGTGATGGTGGCTCAATCTTTGACAGGGTACAGTCGGTTAAGCAGCTTACAACACTCTGACCACAAATGAAAGGACTTGTGCAAATTAACGTACAAAAGACACACACACATAGACAATTCATGCACATGATATTCACCCTCATCCCTCTCCCCGACGCAGGCTGCTTTAATAAAACCTTGACAAACAGCCAAACTGTTGCATGGGCTGTACCTGCTGTGTGTCTGCAGTTCAAACCTGACTGAGTGTGAGCTGGACTGCTTCCAGTCACAATCAATCACACTGACACAAGCAGATAAAAAAAACAGAGGATGTATCGTTCCCCTGGTGCGGTCTCAAAAACACCCTGGTATACTCACTGTGCACCTGGACAGTGCCCTTGATGGTTTCTATTATTAGGGGCTAAACCAGTTCAAACAGTTGCCAGAACACAGGGAAATATGATGCATACTGTGGCCACTCTGTGTTGTGTGCAACATGCTATTCACAGGGTTATCATGATCTGCAAATCTTTTTGTCAGCAGTGTTTCTCTCACAGGGCAGCAAATGGAGACGATGTTATGCTGATGACAGAGGCTGTTGCTGAGATAAGCAAGCTGTTAGAAGGTCAAGAGGCAATCATGTTTCCCATCTGTGTAGGTGGACTTTTTGAGTAGCAGGCTTACTGACAATCAAAGTTGACAGTTTAAATCTTTGGATTTGAAAAACCTGAACAGAGAAATGGGACAAAGTGGACATTGGCTTTTTAAATGTACCGGTTCAGCAGCTGGCTGGTGTAAAATGACATTAAGGGTGGCTAACAAAGAGCATCAGGTCTCTGCCTAAACATAGAAAAGCTTATACGTTTTTTTTTCCTCTTTTCTACAGTAAGATACCTGTTGAACTACCTGTATTGTTTAGTTAAATGATCCATTGTGAGGCGAGAGAGTGAGCAGCTCTCAGAGGGTGATGTATGTATGTAAATTTAAACGTGTAGGTGTTTATTCTCAAGATATGAATATTCATGTATTTTTAAACACAAGAAAACAAATTATTTAGTTTGAACAGGTGCATTTATGCAAGCCTATAAGCCACCAGCCACTGAACAAGAAAACTGAGGATATAAATGTATGACTCAAATCTGTGGCAACTTTACTTAAACAGAACTTTTCCCAACAGTCCCAACCAACTTAACAATTCATCTTTTGGTCCAAAGGGATTCAGAGAATGGGATTAAATCCACATTTAGTTGAAATGGTCATCATCAGTTGTGTGAAAATTCATGGAAAAATGGGTGGACTTGTCCCAATGAATGTGTTTGAAGTTTGCCGTTAATTCTTCCAGTCAGTTTTCCCAGCGCTATTCAGATCAGCAGTGGTCCTGCCCTTTGTGAATAAGCACATTGTTAAAGTGTGACGGTGCATTTCTATGACCAAACATGAACAAAACTTGAACAAGTGTATCGATTCCGAGCGTCACCTTACAGCTCCTCCTCAGAGTATCAGGGGACAAGTGGTAGACTAGACTTTAAAGGCACTAGAAGTACCCTGGGATTTTAATTAATGAGAAGATGACTCTGAATTTTTAACACTGTGCAACATTTGAAATGCCTGCAGTAATTGCCTCTATTTTATGTTGACAAGTCCCTCTTTGATTTTCTTAGACTTACTAAGGTTGATTTTATTTTTCTTTAATCTGCTGTTTTGGGAATGCTATTATCAAGGCCAACACAGCGCTGACAACAGCGAAAGCTAGCTATGCGCTCTTGGGTAACACAGAGGATGCTGTTTGACCTATTTAAACAGGTAAAGGGATAAAGGGTGAGGACATCCTATTATTTGGTGCCCACCCTGAGTATTCTCAATTTTAGAGTTTGGTGTCTGGATTCCCATTATTCCAAACTCAGCTAAGAGGAGAATTCTTCCTATGGATGCTTAAATAGCTGAGTGTTTTTGCAAAATTTGATGGTCTAGCATGTTGATCAGTAGTGATGTCAATCCTATAGTTAACTTCCATGATCACTTTACATTATACCTCACCCTCTTTGTGCATATGTGGTCATATTCCACCCCCTTGTCATCATTATAAATTGTAATTCACAGACATAAACGCTGCTAAGGCTTAGTTAAACAACAACAGCGGACTCCACTGACCACTGTTGTTGGAATTCTTGTCCCTTGCAGCACAACTCTTCTCCCCTTTATCACATATCGCTCTGTCTTGTTCTATGTCGTGCACAACACGAAACAAAACCAAGCTGCAAAATTGAAAGCTGCAATCTTGACCTATTAACCTCATACAACCACTCCAGAGGGGCATTCAGTGACAAGTAATTCATCATCAGCTTCAACTGCATGCACAGCCACAGTTAAACCCTGTACAACACTGCCCTCCTGTGGAACAAATCATGATGACACCTTCACTTTCTTCAAATTCAAAATACTCAGTAAACTAAATGAAATTGCGGCTCCTTCAGAAGAACTGAACCCTACAAAGAAAGTCTTTGCAAACACAACATCACAGACTGCACGGTAACTTGTCGAACAAAGCCTGTATTGTTCTACTAGTTTTCTTAATTCACACATGAAAGAGTGAAAAAACTTCAAATTCAATTACGAGTCCTGTGCTACGTTCAAAGGATGTTTCGCCGCCTTGTTCTTTCCCTACTTACAAAAACTATGTCCCCCCAATGCAAATGCTTTCTGCTGCTCAGGGGGTCTCACTCATTTTAGACTTCTCAACTTTTAACCCCTGACTTTTTTTTTTTTTCTCAGCAAAGCACTCATATCTAGACGAGAGGTGTTCTTGTTTCAAAGTAAGAAAGCAAGGCAATGAATATGACAGTGGAAAACCTTATATGTAAAGTAATTAAAGGTGTGAGACTGCAGCACAGGAAAAAAAGGAATAAATTCGAATGTGATTAAACAAATCAAAACAACGACGGCGCAATATGAAGTGAGATACAAAGAGGAAGAAAGGGACAAATAATAAGCGGGCTGCCGTGGCTCAGCAGTGCTGTCAGGTTCAATCTGGTGTGGGCCGGCAGGATAGCCAAGGAGCAGCAACTGGGGGAGAGTCCTGTGAGACTTGCGTTTCCTGCCTGCCTCGCTAGCAGACAACCTCTCTTTGTTTTACTGGCCCTTTTTTCCCCTCTACTTACCACCAGCCCACCTCCCCCCATTCACTCCCCACCCCACCACCCCAAAAAACACACCGGGGCCACCTCTATCCGTGCAAAGATGGAGGGGGGGTGACAAACAGGGGATGATGGGGGGATAAGCACAGAATGTAAAGAAAGTGCAGAAAGAGAAAGGAGTTTTATTGAGAAGCAGAGGGAGAAAGATGAGAGCTGACTTGATGCATGAAAAGTGTTGCTAAAGAGAGGAGAGAAGAAGAAACGTGAGAGAGGGGGAAGAAAAATAACAAAAAAAAAAGGAGTCAGACGAAACACAACATTGGAATTTGAAAAGAAAATAATGGCAGCAAACCCTGCTACCGTCTGGTATGAGCTGGATGTGATGCCCAGGAAAATGGACTCTTCTACCTTTTAGGATACCTGCGGTTTAGTTATGAGCAGAAAATGACATTAACTGCCAAAACAACAGCATGCAAGTGAGTAAAGTCACCGTAAAGTGTTTTACTGACACCGTCATTCAGTTTTAGGGTTAAAGGGACCGAGTCGAATGCAGGACAGTTGAAAGGAAGGAAGAAGAATCAGAGGTAAAATGTACAAAGCTAAGTGGTCAGGGGGTGCTCCACCAAGCCAGCCATACAAACACAGACACACAGACCCGAATGTGCACACACAGAGCCTCTTCCCAGCCCCCCCTCCCCTCCTTCATTTTTCCAGGCCTCGCTCTGACTGCGACTTGAGCCAGTTTCCACTCTGGTCTGGGGTGTGGTGCACGCTCCTGGGAGACTTTGACTGCAGGACCAGTTAGTCAAAACAAGGCCCGAGTGCTAGACAGAGAGAGAGAGGGAGAGGCAGAGAGACACTGAGAGTGACAGAGAGAGCGAGATAGAGTGGGAGAGAAAGAACAACTGAGCACAGAGGGTGGCTAGACAGAGAGAGAGAGAGGGAAGGCGATTATCGAGTCATGTACTGTTTTTAACCTAGAGTCTGGGCCAAGGAGAGAGACCCAGACAGAGTAAACTTTTTTAATACCCGTAATACAGGTGCCTTAAAAACCATCTGTGCGAGGAAGGAGCTGCAAGAGGAGAAGAGTTATACACAAAACAAGAGTTTGTGGGGTTCAGCTGAGTAACCCCTCCGAGGCACTGTAACACCGCAAATACATCCATGCTTATGAGAGGGCAAGGGGCACACACATGGTTATCACTTGACCTTTATGTAATCCTTTTATTCTAGAGGGAAGAAACATTCAGCTTCTGGTTTATAAATAAGACACTGCTTGTTCAATCCAAGATGAGCTGCCAGTTTGACGCGGTAGAAAAACAAATATATTCACAGAAGTGAATCATCACCATCATTTTTTCTCATTCACCGAGGAAAGAAGCAGCGGAGAATATGAGTGTCCTTTCTTCAAATTATAAAAAATTCCAAAATGTCATAGCAGCAACACAAACAGAAGCTAGGACTTGAAAAAAAAAAAGGCACAAAAAGTCACCGAGGGGAAAAGATGACTCTAAACAAACTTGAAATAGAATAACAAAGTTGACATACAATATACAAACTTTACAACATATGGTCTCGAAAGCAATTTCAATTCAAAGGGTAGCAGATGCTACACTGAGGCATTTAGGATTCCAACTACACACACATGCCTATCCACAGGCATATAGTAGACACAGACGTTCGACACACACACACGAACAGAGGCACACACTCCTTTTCATAGCTGCTGCATTCCGTGTTTTATATGCTCTCTTTTATTCATAACATTGCATTTTACACCACCGAGTCTGGAGCAGATTAAGGGTTGTCTCCTGCTGCATGCTCATGCTTACTCTACCCCAAAGAGCCCGAATGGTATTTGACTGTTCTCTAAAGGCAATAAGAACTTGAACATCTGGCGATTGAGCTCTGGGAAAAGGTTGATAAAGGATTATCCTGCAGCGAAACTTCTTTTATTGTCAAAGCACCAACTCCTGACTCGAATTTGACTCGAAATTCTGATCAAACTTGTCTCAGGTGGTATAGAATTTCTTTAATAAGTGGCATTTATTTAGAGTAATTAAAAAATAATATCCTAAAAATATATCTCCCAGCTAACGTCTGCAGATTAGCTGGGATCACGAGACGCAGCTAGCAACGCACTCAGTGTTGAAGCCCATAATAGCAGTCACCTCTTGTGAAAGGGAAATGCTGTTGAAGGGAGTGACCCTTCATTCCTGCCAGTCCAAATACCTGGCGCTGAGAACCAGGAAGACCGGGGTCGGGGGGTGACTGAGCAGAATCTTATCTGGCCTGCCCATTGCTCTATTGGTATTGAAGCAGGGCGAGGACAAGTACACAGCCGACTAATGCTCACCATTGGAGCTGATAGAGAGAGGCAGAGGGCATTCTCGGGACACTTATCAGACCTAGTGTTTCCTCTCGGCCTGCCTTGATAGGGCCCCTCATCCTGTGAGCAGGGCTATCACTGTTATTGCAGTCCTTTCTCCCGTCTCTGGTGGTGACACCATATAGCCGATGTAAAGGATGTGTAGCTTTTTTTTTTTTTTTTTTACAGATAGGCCAAGCAGGCTTAAGCGAGTTGAGGTTGTGTCAGCAAAAATAATGTTTGTAGAGTGAAAAGGTATCCAGAGGAAAGAGACATTCATCCTGGGCTGCTGTGGGCGTTGTTCTTAGAAATTCAGCTCAGCTTTTTCTCGAGTTTTTCTGGTGCAACACTATCAACACTAGCAGGTCTAGTATGACGGCTGCATTTAAACTTAGCTGTAGATTTCTCAGTATTACATCTTTAGATACGACAAACTTAGACGTCAAGCAGCTCAAATAAACAGAGAACTATTCGAACCTCATCTCAACGTGACTTTTACACAACATAAAATCTACCGTTGCCATGGAAATAAGGCAATAAATGAACTTTTCCTCTATGTTTATTTTATAAAGTTCAAGTCTATATCTTTGAGGAATATAAAATAAAACACAAAGAACTCAGAAACAACATAAAAAAAACGCTGTACTTGACTTTCATTTTTATATTAAATTGTTTCTAATAAAAATGAGACAACACAGACTCACATAATGATGTCTTCTTCAGAAAACATTTCGGTAATACATTAAAGCATTGATAAAGATTTATAGTCCCAAGCCAGGACCAAATATATTATTAAAAATAAAGGCGCATATGTTTCACAAAATGAACAATAGCAGAACATTAAATCACATGAAAAGTGCAAAATGATGAAGCTTTAGGAGCTCCATGATGATGATGATGACAAAAGCCTTTTTCGCAGCATTTATTTGCCATTAGATCACTCCACACTGAAGAGCACCACAAACAAACTGTCTTTCAGCTCCAGTCCGGCCAGAAAGAAGCAATCGGCCTCTTCTGCCATGTTTACCATCTACATTGTCGCTTTAGCACCTGTCCATGATGTGTTTCTCTCTAGCAAACAACCTCATTCACAGGTCTTACACTCTGCTTCTCGGCCATAATCACCACATTCACCGTCTGTTCTCGCCCCTGCGGTTGTGGAAACACTGATCAGCGCTCTGCTTTTGTCCTCTTGTTAATATGTTTCTGCTCTAAAAGCACTTCGGAGCTTGAATGTGTGCTCACAGGCAGCAGAGCTGAGTAAAAAAGGCCTGCTTGGCTCATATTGTTTTTGGAATCATAAAAGGTGCACCTGCACAGAGCGTTGTCAGGGACATCAGTGCTTGTGGTTTGGACTTGTGTGAGTGGTCTTTGTGTGCGCTTTTGTGTGTTTTTGTTTGTACGTGAATGTCTGATACTTGCAGATAGTGACTTAACGTTTATCACAGTTTCATACTTTTTTCTCTTTTTGTCAACCTCACATCACCCCTTTCTGTAAACAGTACCAACAGCACACTCGAAGACATCTGGATATCCCTCAGAACATTTTAATAAAATGTGTTCTTACCCTCTTTGGAGGCCAAGCGTGGCGATGGGTCTGTGTGAGATGGTGTGTTGTAGGATAACGATGAGCTACCTGTAATAAAATGAGAGAAAAGAAAGCATTATAATCCATGACTGACTCCATCTAGTACAGGAAAGCACTGGATAAATCTTAAACTATGACCTAGTGACTTAAAGTGTGCATTATATGTTTAGTTTTATTGTTCTTTTACGGATTTGGAGTAAAAAAAAAAAGTTTCTTCAAACAAATACGTATTTATTTACTCTTTTGGAAACTGTTTGTGAGAGTAATCCTACGTACAAATATACTAGATCTGGTGTCAGAAGCTTACAGGGTATAAATATAGCCAGCAGGTGGCAGTAGAAGGTTCAGCACATTTTGCAGTACTATAAAGCTCTTTTCATTTCTTGAATTGTGTTCCTGCTTCTACCAAAAAAAATATAGTCCAGGTACCATAATAATTCATGACACATAAATTTTGTCCAAAATAAAGTAAATCCAGAGCACAGACAGTCCTTTAAATGCAGGGGGAAACCCTGGAGCCTGTCAGTGTTTTAACTGCAATCCTTACTCCTGAATAATAAAGTCAGGGAGGCAAGAGTCTGCATATGGCTGCCTATTCATTTCACCTTATGGAGCAGAACTCGGCACTGCATTCCTGCACTTACACAGGCACCCTGGGCGGCACCAAAATGCTCTCTTAATTTTAGCTGCCCCCAGGCATAAATCAGCGAGTGGAAAAACAGAGCCAAAAATGCACAGAGAAAACACAAGACCTACTACGTGGGGAGTGTTAAGATTTAGCACTATGATGGCTACAGAGAGCTGCTGAGTCAGGGGGATATATTTTTTTGAATGGGGTTATATGAAAAAGAGAGGGAAAAAAAAAGTTAAATTTGTGATGTGCTTCACTTGAGATTTGATGCAGGGTCTGACTAGCTGTGGTGCTGGAAGGACAGGGGGTAAGGGGCCCATGGTGGCAGACTAGGGGTCTGTTTTTTTAGGGGGTGGCTGAAGGGGGGAAAGGGGTGCTCCGAAAATGTATTCTAACCTCCCAACACCCCACCCCTCCCAGTTCTACCTACTCCGCGGCACCCCCAAGGCTCTGGGTCTAGTTTAGAAACCTGGGGGCCTCCGAACAGGGGAGCCATTGTATGAAGCCGGGTCCCTGCACAGCAATCAAACGCAGCTCCCCGAACAAAAATAATTCCACACGCAGAGTGTAAGTGCACAGGGGCAAACCAGCTACCAAAGCGCCATCTTTGGAATGAAGCAGAAAGTGTAAGAGAAAGATGAACAGACAGACAGGGAGGGAGAGGAGGGAGGAGGAAGGGGCCATTAACCCTTTTCCTACTGTGTGCCACATATGTGGGCTGACCCAGACAGGCAAACAGGCAGCATTGCTGAGAAAACCTCAAACCACCCCACAGAGAAATTCAGGACTGCTGTACGGGAGAGAGTGAGAGCCAGTCTGAGAAGGAGAGAGAGGGACACAGCTGACTTTTTAGTGGAGGGGGTCCCGGCCGTGCTGCCTATTTATTTGGACGGCTTCTTCCTTCTCTCAGAAAACAAACATATCCCGGTAATCTGACAGCACAGTGGGAGGACTGGCCAGTGTTCAGCCTTTCAGACCCTCACTCTTTCTTTTCCTCCCCAATCGCATCTGTTCACAGTCTGCTTGATTACATAACATCCACAAACAATTTTCTTTTCTCTCCCTCCTAAGACTGATAGGCCCTTAGAAAAAAGCCCTGTCCATCAATTTGGCACCCCTATGATATTGACGGAGATCTTAGAAGGCTTGTTCAGCATTGTGATTGACCTCCATCAGCCCCCTTTGCTGTTTATTCTGTAAAGCTATGTGATACTGTTGCCTCAAACATGTGGTCTGAGCTTTGTCAACAAACTGAGGGCTCCAGTCACCCTGATTTTGGGCATTTTGCCACCACAGAGGAGGCCAAATGGGTTGCAGCCAACAGTAAGTCATCATTTTCTGGCTCTATAGGGTGATGCTGTTATGTGTAGCTCATTTCACACCGAGAGAGAAATGACCAAAAGGCTCTCAGAGACAATCATGCATTGCCTTATAAAAATTTCGAATGCCCCTATTTGTTAAATGATATTTGGCAGTATTAACCAGGTTCATAAAAGCTATTATTAAAAACTTGTAGTATATGGATGTGTTTGTTTTATTCTACTTATTGAGAATGTAAAAACGTCAAATCAATTATGTGATCTAATATTTCCATGGACTGTTTTCTAGCATTGGTACCACATGGACTTCAAGTTCAATTTTACCATGTTTCAGCTGTGAGCTTTGTCCTCTCATCTGTGGAAAAACTCAGATTTGACACGGTCTAAGAGATGAGGCAGACATCAAACACTTTTGACATCATAAATATAAATCCAAAGACATAAATCCAAGTCATGAATTTGTATTTCTCTAGAAAAGTTTTAAGTTGATATGACCAAGTTGCAAACTTGGCTTCAAACAGTACATAGCAGCCAATGGGTGACTTTGACTTAAACCATCAACCAGCCGTGGATTTTTCAATGTACACCCCCCAGCTGGTTTGTCATTAATGGCTTACATTAGCAAGTAACTATGCAGACATGAACTGTAGGTGAGACAACAGCAAAGCAATTTACAGGGTCATATTTCTCCTATTTGAGCAAATGTTTAAAGTGACCAAGTCATGCAGGCATGTGCTGAATCTGTCCATAAACCAAAGGCAAAGCTATTATCAATCCTTATTTATATCTTCACAACTTTTTTAAAGACACTTACAACAAAAGCAGGTCCAGACCATACTTATATTTACAAAGACCCATCATTGAGATAAGATTCAATCCTATCATATCTTAATCCACCATGAGTATAACACTTTGCAGAATTTAACAAGTTACAGTAGCAAAGAAAAACCTCAAGCAGAACCAACATCCTGATGAACAGCCACCTTCTGTGACTACGTCAAGATTGAAGGAGACGTAGAAAGAGACAACAACAACAACTCACACAGTCTCAAGCTCACATATGGAGTAGGCATGTGCACTATTTACAGGAACAGCTAAATAATGATTACAAACCAATTTTTATGTGTATTATTGCTGTTAAATTCAACAGGTTTTATCTTTCTGCGAACCTCTTTGAAAGACAGCAGAGTATGAGAGGTTGAAATAACAGCTTAACACTGAGGAAAGCTTCAGCAACACAAATTAACAATCCTTTACACAACCCTTTTTTCATGAGAAAGACTTGAAACTTTAGCACCTTGCTCAGACAAGTATTGATGCCTAAAGCTCTTTGCACAGATGTATTTCTGTGGCATCACAAAAATCATTCTTTAGCATGAGCTTCCGCCACTAGGTTGAGATTTAGTTTAGTTGTGATAAATAGTGTTTTTCTTCCTGTGTGAACTGCTTACCAGCATGTGTCTGATTGGGCTCAAACTGTTTGTGACGTTTATTAATGTTGTTACCCTTCTTGTACCCATTATTCTGAACTTAAGTGGCTGCTGAATGAAATAAAACCGTAAATATCAAATGTTTAAACATGACGTATGCTGAATCTGAGACTGTCCTCGCCAAACAAGGACAGAAACAGTTTTGAGTTAATCCTTTAGAAACAAAACCACAGTCCATTTACTTCAATCTCAGTCTGCCCCTAACCTTATTTTGACCATATGCATGCCAGGTACTGCAGCCATATAACTTTTGTTTTTGAACTGACACAAAAAAGACACACACATACACACTCAAAATCCTGACATAATTCCAAGCTTTTGCAGGATTGGCAACTGGGCTAAAAGAACAAGTATAATGAACCTCTAAGCAGCTAAGCTTAAATTACAGTTGAGCTCATCTCAGTGTTTACATGAATAGTAACTGCTTATTATCCACCTCCACTTATGCTAATGTGATCTGTACATAAATTCCTGTAGTGCGAAGTGTCTGCACCCCAGCAGTCTAGCGAGCGGCCACAAACTGCTCTGTAATGGAGGCTAACAGCAGACAGCTAACAGCTAAAGGCCCGGAGCCAGACTGCTGAGCCCCTCTGCACCAGTGATAATCTGCCAATAGAAAGAACTAATGCAAGGGGAGCTCAATAAAAATGTTGTGAGGGGAGAAGAGGGAGAGAGAGAGAGTGAGAGGCAGAGCTCTCCAGACCTCCTTTTTCCCTACTCAGCCTTCGAGCCCAGATGTTTATGGTCTGTATAAACTATTGAGGGCTCGAGAATGTCCCCCACTCTGAGGCGAGCAGCAGTAGTGCAGAAGCCCAGACTTATCACTCTCTCGCTCTTTTCTCTTTCTGGGTCTTGACTCCCCTCACTGTAAATCCATCCAGACGCACAAGCAACGACAACAGCTGGGAAACAGAACCATCGCTGTTCTCCAGCAGCACTCAATCACGACCATCTCGGACAATTTCCACACAATTCTTAAAAAACAGTCACCCCCACCATCCCCAGCTTCATTTTTTTGTCTGGTTCACATATGCCTACTATAACTGTTTCTTCTGCTTACACCCTCGCGCTTCTGTCCTCAAATAACTACCGTAAAATATGTCTGTCAAGGACCTCCTTCTTCATCTAATTTCTGCAGTTGTTATTTTAGATTCCCAGTATATTTGTTCTAAACTCTCCTTCTTCTGACTCATTTATGCCCTCCCCCCTTTCTCATCCTTCTTTCCCTTCGAGCATCTCTCTGTGTCTGAGGATACAGGCTTTCGTTGTCTGAGGTTTTGCTCTGTTCCTTTTCCAGCACATGTGGTATCAAACCGACCTACATGGGTGCGATAAAGCAAACAGTCCGCGGTCCCTCCTTGACAGACTAATTTGAACAAATTCTCAAATTGCATTCCAAATTGAAAGCACATTGGGGTGCGGGCAGCCATTACTTATAAAAATTTGGATAAGTGACCAGCAATGAGGCCAAAATAATGCATGGGCAACTACTCCTGTTACTGTAAGCAGCTGGGAAACCAGACAGATGTTCAGATTGTGCCAGCGGTTTCGCGAGCGCGGTTGTCTGCGTGATATTTCTGAACATGACGTGGCAGGAATGTTTTGTTATCGTATGGCTGTAGGGTGGGGAAGCGTGTCCTTGCCCCGTGCCGAGTGTACATACAGGGCTTAATGACTTTGAGGAATGTTAATCAAAGGTTCAATAAACAGAACAAAAGGCACGCATGATGCACACAGATGTGCATGAAATGCTGCTTTACCCCCTCGAACCATCCAAATTTCTGGAGGAGGATGGGGGGTAAAGCGTGGAAGATTGGGTGAATGAGATACGAGGAAGACACCACATGACCTGGAATCACTAACACTTCCAGGGTTTGGCTCAGCCTTCTCTTTCCCCTTTTTTCTGTATTCTGGAAGCTCGGCAGACTTCCAGCTCTTGTGAGTGAAGCCAGAGGTCTATTTTCTGGACGGGGTTACTCCTTGTCTGTGATTGTGTTTGTTTGTGCTGCGGGGGAAAAAAGAACGGCTTCAGTTTCCAAATCATCAGCCCTGCAGGGACTACATTAAGCCTCCACCCTCCTCCTCTTCCTCTCAGTCTTCCTTGGATGTTCATTTACTAACATGGTTCCTCTTGCCCCCAGGCTCCCTATGTCAATAATGCACACTGGCTGCGTCTCAGAGAGCTGCCCCAAAACAGGTCAGTCAGTCCAGGCACGGGACGGGAGCATTCATCTTTTTGATTGTTGGGAACCGATCCAAAGCAATTTCAACTGGCAAGTGGAGAGGATTCCCGAGACATCTCTTCTGTCTCCAAAACACACAAGGTCTAAATCAAAAAAAGGGCAGCGTTGGGCAAAGTCGCAGTGCAGCACGCCTAAGCCATGGCTAAGTCCCACAGCCAGTGGCCGTAATGAAAACTGCTCTGCGGAGTGTGCCCAGTGGCGGTCAGACAGATCCACCCGCTGCAGCGCTGCACAATGAGGCTGTTATACTCATGACAAGCATCTCTCTTTGCCCAGACGCTGTGCATAGAGAAAACTGTTGACACCCACAAAATACAGTTCCCATTACATCACACTGAGGCCCATCTCAGTTTTTTGGGAGTAATGTTAAATTTAGTTGAGCCATCAGTCACTCCACCCAACGTGGTGTCAGCAGAAGCAGCCTCCTCTGTGTTTAAGCACAGAATGCAAAGAATTCAGTCACAAAGTGTTCTCTTACTTCCAACAATAACAGTACGTGTGATTTTTCAAAAAGACGATGGTGTGTAACTGTTGTAGGAACCAGACATCACCATGCATTCAAACCAAAAGCCATGCCAGATGTTACTTCTTATATTAAAACATCATTTGCATACTGCCTCACAAAATGGCTTAGTTTCCCCGCCAAAACATATGAACCAGGATTGCATCAGGGAACTCTTCAAAGGTTAGAGCTTTAGACTTAGTTGCCTCCATTGCAAATTGCAGATCAACTTTCTTTGCCGTGCTGAAGACAAAAGGCCTAGCGTGATTCCTGAGGCAATGCACCTGGCCTTCATCTTTCTGGACCATGTGGAATAAGGCGCTGCAAAGTCAAGTGGGGGATGCAGTCGATGGTTATCTCGAGACTGGAAAGAACCCTCTTGGTTTCCACAGCCTTGCTTAATACTGGGCTGCCATTATGGAGAAATGAGTTTCCAGTAAAAGCAATATCACGGTATAAGTTGATGGAAATGTGAGTATAGTGTGGTGACAAAAATAAGTGTCACTGCTTTGGTTTGGCTCTTTTATATTTAACTTTTTTTCCCCCCAAAGTAAAAAAAGTCTATGAAATGTAGATTGACTCTCATTTTTCAGCTAAATGGATGCCAAGCTCTGAAGACATGATGTAAAGCAAGAACACCAAGAACACATGTTACTAGAAGTGCTCTCCTCGTACTTCTATGTACATTTAAAGTATTTTTTTTCTGCTGTATTTATCTGTTTATTCTCAAATATGGGGTGCACAATACTTACTTTCCCTGAGGTAATTGAGATGAGAGAGAAGCACTTCAGCATTGTACATGGTGGTGAGCCGCAGGAAGTCATCCTTGCCCATCTTGCAGAGCTCTTTGCCGTCTGTGTTCTGGAACATGGCTGTGTCAATCTCTAACAGACCATACTCTTTGATCGCCCACTCCAGCCACTGGCGCACATGGTCCTGGGACCACAATGATGGGTCTGCAGGTAAACAGATAAAGAGATGGAGAGAGGAAGTTTGACTACATTACAGAGTTGTTTCTGGACAGACACGTTGATGGAGTTGGAAGAGACTCCTATCTGGAAAGGTAAGTGCGGGGAAGAAATGAACAAATTGGAAACAGAGTTTTATATCAGTAGCAGACCTTGTTCGGAAAGTTGTAAATATTCTTTGTTTTATTTTTACCACATGGACGGGGTTAGCATGAGCGGGATGAGTCATATAGGGTTTCAAGGGAACATCTTCTTCTCAGTTGTATTGACTCTGAAATCTTCTCCTGTTATCGTTCAAATTTTGCAATGCATTTCAACCTCAAGGTATTTGTAAGTCTTGGACTCAACTCTGATACATGGTGCAGGAAAATTTCAAAACCTAACCCTGAACTTTACACGTGGCCAAGGAGCGGCATCCACATTCACCACCATTAGGTTGGTAGATGAGTGGCACTTTGCCTCCGTTTCGCAATAACATTTCAATAACTTTTGAAATGGAAAAAAGTACCAAAGCTGCATTTAATTTTACTATGTCACATGTGCTCAATCATGGGAAAACATTGTTATTCTCTTCGGTTTTCTGGCTTAGGTCTAATAGCATAATCAGCTCAGACATTAGAGTTAATTTTTCCAAAGCTATAACAGTGAGACTGCACTTGTTACTCCCTAAACTATCCGATTTTACATACTGAAAGACCAAATTTGTTAAACCAATAAAAATCATAAATGGACCTGGCAAACAAGCTCACATCTCTACCTGCACAAACTCATTAGTGATCCCGTGAGTGGCATAAAACACTGGAACAATGGTTTACCCAATGAACCAGCTAAATAGAAATGGGACCTATAAAACGTTTACAGCTTTTCCAAAATTATACCCAAAAGAGGAGTAGCTTTATTACTAATCACAACAGCAGCATGGAAAAAACAGGACAGTTTTCAAAATATGCAATGAATATACAAATACACACAACCACACACATTTAAGTTTATGTTAACACTATTTCCTAATGCTTAAGTTTGCGTTGTTGTTGAAAAGTTGTTCTCACCTGCAGGTACAATCACTCTCCTCTCATTGGTGGTCATATTTGGGGGAGGGGCGTTCTTCTCGTCCATGTAGTTTCCATAGTTCATCTGAGATGAAGTGTCGTTACTCCCCACCAGTTTATTACATTTACCCACACTGCAGTCCACAGGAGACTCCCTGCTACAAAAACACACAGAGAGAAGAAGGTTGAAAAAATATTTTCTGCTTGTAAATCGAGTGTTTTCTTTTCATGTCATTGATCTCGGTATGCGATCTGAATTTGTCATGGCCAAGTTTGACGACATATATGGCAGCAGCCTTTATTATGTGCATTGTCAAACTAAGATACGCTTCTTTTTTAAACAATTAAAGACATAAAGTGGTTGTCAGTCCATACCTGGATCCATTCATGTGCTCATATTCTCGCTTGACGTTGACCCGTCCTGGCTGGTTGATCCACTCCTGCTGAGGAGGTAAGGGGTTGATTTTGTGGGTCTGGCCGTAGTCTTGTGCGCCAGATGCAGTCATGTCTGTCTTGGGGAGAGGGGCAGCAGCAGCGTATGGAGGCTCAAATAATGACTGGTCTTCACTTACCACTGATAGTGCCTCCTGTGGATAGAAGAAGCAAACAATCAATATATAATTCTCAAATCTTTGTATGACATCTACTTAAAAACGAAACACTGACAGTACGCTGGGAGGAAACACATTGGTATATTATAAAGATACAGTTGTTTGTTTTTTTTTCTATAGAGAGTAGAGAGTAAAGTATTTTTGTGGTTAGCACAGCTTTACTGAAATCCTGGGTAAAGAGTAAAACTGGTGGTCTCACTCATTACTTCTCAACCCAACTTTTACTGCCAGAAATGGCCTGCTAATAGACCTTTTGTCTAGAGAATCTAAAGGAAAAAACAACAACAATGTATTGCCGTCATTTAATTTTGGCTCAAATATGAGAAATGACTGCTAGCTGCTTTGCCCTGCATCCATCTTTAAGCTAGGCTATAAGCTAACAATCTCTTAGCTGCTGTTTCACTCCTAACTCAGATAAGAGAGTGGTTTAAATCTGCTCATCTAACTCTGGGTGAGTAAACAGAACCCAGAAAGTTGTGATATCAAATTTTTATTCTCCTGTGTATTTTTGTTTACAGCAATTACGTGCAGTTGTTGGTCATATCACAGTCTGGCATCCGCAGAAGTTTGTGTATACAACCCACGTAGCAACTGTAGCTTCCTGTTGATGTTAGGATGACTTCAATCAAGCCCAAAGTGGAGTAAGTGTTGTATTCTTGGGTATTTCTAACAATATTTTTCATACACATTGCTCTTCTACAAATAAATACACGTTGGCTCACAAAATGCTAACTTTAGCAGGACTATGACTCACAGAATCTAGATTTGATCATAATTCCCCACTCTTTACACCAAGTTAAATCCCCTGTCCTTCTAGAACGCGTCTGTCCTATGCATCCGTCCACAGCTGAAGACTCAACAGAAGCAGGTTCGGGCCGGAAGGGGGTAGTGGATGTCACAGCAACACTGACCCTTTTGCTGTGGCTCAGCTGGAGCAATGTCAGTTTATTAAAGAAAACAAACGCGGAAACTCAAGGCCGGCTAAGTTATTACGTGGTTTCAAACATGCTTGGGAGTAACGCATTGATTATTCATTTGATGGATTACATTTTTAGCATGCAGATGTGACTTCTTGGAGTTCAACATAAAAAACAGAGCCAAATAATGTCACCATCTCAAACCGGTGCCAGGCAGCTTTAACTGGCACAGAATAGACAGGGCTTGACAATAACTTGATGGCTCGGCCAAAGTTGTAATCACACTATGTTTCATTCTTTGCAGAGTTTTGCGCAAACAAATACAGAAAACCTATAAGTCAGAATATCAAGCGAAATCACCAGAGTCATATGGTTCTGCTGAGGATTAGGCTCGGGTCTGATGCACATCTGGATCTGATGGCACAGCTTAGACCGAGACGTGTCTAATTCCAAAGGACTGAATTATTTCATTCCAAATGCCACATATCTGCTTCAGGGAGAAAATGCTACTTGATATTCATTGATCAATATTTCCAACACGTAGCTTTTTGCGTTCTCTAAAATGAAAAGCAAAATGAAAGCAAAATCCTCATGATCCCACAGAACTTCAATATCATTCCATTCTCAGACTTTTCATGCAAGCATAAATTTTTCGCTTATCCTTGCTGATTGTGAATGTCTCTTTTTGAAACACATGTTGTTGCCGTTACCAGGAAAGACTGATATTAGCATTTGTGTCATTAAAGATGGTGCCACAACCGCTATGTTATCGCTCAGCTCTATTTTGACTGATTGAATACAATATATTTAAGATTCTTTACGACAAAAGTTAAAGTACAGGTGTCTTTTATGACTGGCACATAACATACACAAGTTAAATGAGAGTGATTTTGATTTTAACTTAAACATAAAATGAAAACAGGTGATGCTGCGTAGTTTAGAGACAACTCAGCTCTTGAATCAGAAAAATAAGCAAAGATGAACAAAAAATAGGATTTTGATTTCAAAATAAATAAGAAACAAAACATTTCACTTGATCCTAAGTTTTGCCAGCAATTTGTAATACTTTTCAACTATCTTAGGCAAATTCAATCTGTATTAGAAGATAAAATTATCTAAAAGCAAGCTTAATGAAAGGGTTTGATGAGTCTTTTACTTAGTGCCATGTATCTGACGTATTACATATATCAAAAATGAGACACAAATATTAAACTACCACAATAAGCCACTACACTTAAGGGTGATGGGTGGATGACAAAGCTGAACCGCTCAAACGCATTAAACTATCCCACTAAAGTTAGGTTTTCCAATGATTTCATCAGTGGATCCATCATAGTCTGAACCCTGGCAGTGTGACTCTCTATCTCAGCAGAGCACAGCAGCTAGTCTACGGATGATAAAGTGTAGAAGAGTGAGGGAATGTCTCATTGCGACCAGATAAGAGCTTAGTCGACTATTTAGAGCGTTGCGTGTTATATTTTCACTGACATATCAGCCTGTACAATTGAAGCTATGATTGGCAAGTGGTGGGAGTCGATCAAGATTGCAGAGGCTTTTTTTTTTTTTCTAAAATAGGACACACCACACTCATAAAGAGAAGCTAAAAGGATCACAGACTGGTGCCAGACCAGTGCCTGAGTTTTCTTTCCAGTATCTGTGGGAAACACACATACTGCCAGTGAGCGCTAACAGTAACAGAGTTTTTCTATTTGTCTCACAATGTCTACTGAGAATCTCTGTGGTTTCCAGCCACTTGTGGGTAACATGATATCAAGATTCCCAGAACGAAGAATTACCAATAATAATAATAATAATAATAATAATAATAATAATAATAATAATAATAATAAACGTATTTTTCTTTCAAAACATTTGTAAAATCTGTATTCTGTTTTTGAGAGGCATTACTTTATAAAAGGAACTGCAGGACAGGCACCATCACAAGCATTGTGTGAGTGTGACACCTGCTGGGAGCCACCTCTGATCTGTTTACATCAGCCCACTCTATCTCTCCAAATGCGTCACGACGCGTCTGGAGCAGGCTGGATAGATGCAATAGCTCCACATCCAGACTACACGTGTGATTGTTTGACGTTCACACACAGCCATCAAGCAGGAGCCACCCAGGGGGGGCATTCCTGCCCTTTGTTTAAGAAGGAAGAGGAAACCTGTCAGGAAAAGATTGTGTAGAACAGGAAGCTCTCATGGCTAGAGAGCCCTTCCTTTCTTTTAGCGAGCATGAATGCAGCTAGCAGCCAGTCATTTATACCCAAGGATTCAATTATGATTACATTAATTGTAACAACCTCTTGCTTTGTTTCGGCTCCAAGCTGAGACACCCAAGCACCACTACAGCATGTCACTTAACCCCGATAAGAAAACAATCAGGGTGCTGTGAGCGGTAAATGACGGGATTTAAGTGACTATATGCAGCCTGACATTCTTGTCTGGCCAACGTTTATACTCCAAAACACACACCACACCCAGCCGCCGCAAAGCCGCTACTTTAAATTTCCAGCAGAAAACAAATCACATCATTTTTCAGTAACATGAGAGCAAATGCAGATGCTGCAGTCTTCTGTGCCTCCACTTGTTAACCGGAGGACACAGACTGAAGCATCGCGGGGCAAACTAATCACGACTTGCCATTCAACATCTGGTGACCGCAGCCATAATGCATCTGGAATTTGACTGTCGGGGGCCAGTAGCCAGTGTTTGAGCACAGCAGAGCTCTTGACTACCAACATACCGTTTCAAAATAGTTGTGTAACTATAAGAGGAGCAAGCCAGGGTATCATTGTGAAGACTTGTGGTTTTTAAGTTTTGCAAACTGAGCAGTTACCGCGTGAAGTAACCAAATGACAGCTTTCATTACACATCGACAGAGCTGTGCGACGGAGGCGGATGACTTAAAACCAACAACAGCGTAAGAAAAAAGGACTCTTTAGTAGACAAATACAAAAGTTTCACAGTTTTTGACCCATGTCAGACTCCTCCACCTCAGCCGGGCGATGTGCCACACCGCCGTTGCGCAGCTCTACACATCGTATCCAGCGGTACATCCAGTCATGGCTATTGCTCAATCCCCACTGGCCAGACTAAACTAAATCGCTGAACTCGTGGATAAGTTATACTTACATGAAAGTAAGTTTACAACGTGTTGTCTAAAACACATAGCCACTCCTTTTCATCCTTCCAGACGTGCGTAATTGTGCGCCTGGTCTCCAAATCCAAAGCGTGATTCTGCTCTGAATCCGCACCGTAGCGTTTTCTCATAACCAGCCAGATATCAATGAAAAGGAAAGTCGATATCCTCAGAATGAGGGGGGAAAAGGGGGTAATCTGGTTACCGCTCTCAGACTGAGAGAAAAAAGCCGCTCATCGTCGTCAGATTGGAGGTCCCGGCTCACACACCAACACAGAGGGGCATTTCAACCCATTGCTTAAAAAAAGGAGGCGCAACTCCGAAAAAGCAGTCTCCCACAAACTCATACACCCCGTTCTCCACCCTTACCTTAATAGTTCCGTCCATTTTGCGCAAATTTCAGCGGACCCCGACAATATCCCGAACATGACACGCTCCTGTGTTAATTCCAGCCCCCGGTATGTGGCGGAGAGAAAGAGACACTTTTACCGGATTGAGTTTTTTCTTTCCTCTAAATTTGGGAAGTGAAGTCACCACTGTTGAGAAGGTTGAGAAGGAAGCTGTGTGTCACCGAAAGCCCTGCCTTCAAAAAAGCAGGATACTGTCCCAGAGAGATAAGCAGGGAAAACAATTGAGTGTTCGCTCCGCTGTTATGTTTTTCTGCTCGGAAATATTTACAGGATGACTGCCTGCCTTGTGCACAGCCATTGCTGGGTAGCTTGCTGTAAAAGTGGGCTGTGTTGTTTTCCTCCAAGTAATGTCACAGATAGTGTGTACGCGTTTATTATTTGTCCGATTTATGAATTATTTCTGCACACATTCAGCTTTGGCTTTAGGGTGTGCGTGTAACTCTCGCGGATTATTTGATCTCGTGTTTTAGAGAACTTACGGTTCACGCCTACACTTTAAGTCCTGCATCTGGCCATGCCTCCATCCTTCTATAAATCAGCCCATTCTGTGTTTTCTTTTTTTTTTTTTTTTACTATTATAGTGATAGTCGTACACGAAATAAAGTTTACCCTCGACTTTTGGACAGATGTTTCTCAAACTAGCTGCAGAAGGAGCTCTAAATCAAAACAGGAGAGAAACCTGAACACCTACAGGAGTTGTTGCAACCTTGTCTTTTTTCCTTCCTTTGCAGCACTCTGGGAGCTTCTGTGAAGTTTTTCCTGAGACACCATTAATAAAATCCAAGCATTCAGCTCCTGACCGCACTCCAGTCTGCGGGTCTGTGCTACACGTGTGTGTCTGCTGTTTAGAGCAGGACTTGAATAAACTCCATCATTGAAACTTGAGACACTATACAGCTTATATGTTTTTATACATATTTCGGAGCTACCTGTTGATATCTAATGGTTCCTTTCTGCTCGCCTGAGTTGAGAAATGGGGGGGGGGGGGGAATGCGTAATCCCCACCCTTTGTCTGCCCTATGAAATTGCCCTCATCAATTTGAGCATAATTGTGCAGATGTGAGACGACTATGAAGGAGACTAGACCACAAACACTGCAAGAAGAGTCTGTTTTTCACAGATCTGCTGCCTCATTTGCATTTTTAACATTGTGGTTTTTTTTCCCAAAAGACATGTAAGACAAATAAAACACTGATATTAAGCAACATATTGACAGGAATAAAATATCCCATGTTTCTCTGTTTACTCCATTTCGACACCCTCTTCCCCCAAACGACTATTACACGTAAAAGAAAAAAACATCAACTCTATTTAAGATAAAGTTATTGAACAGCTAGTGTGTTAAATTCAAAGTTTGATGCTGAATATTTTTTGCAGTGTTGGGGTCCTGCCTTGGGGAGCGGCCTCTGAGTGGCCAAACAGAGACCGCGCCGCCGCAGCAACTGACAGCAGGGCCGGCCTGTCTGCTCTCCAACTTGGGGGTCTGATGGTGGAGCTGAGGGCCCCCACCCTTGGGACCACCACATCTGGATCCTGCTAAGGGTCAAGGCTTCTCCTGCCTGAGGCCAGTTCAGACTCGTGTAATTAAGGGAGACACCTTGTTTAACTCTTTGCTGACTGCTGGTTTGGTTTCTTTTTTTCTTATATTTTTTTCTTTGTTTTTCTTTACATTCCCGACTCTGGGGGGCTTTCATTAATCCATATTACTGTGGGGAGGCAGTGATAAGGAAGAATCTGGAAGAGCCGGAGAAGATGTGACTCAACAATTAAAGCTTTATTGGGGGTCAGAATAACTTCTCTTAAAAATTTCCCTTTTTCCACACAGCGTGCTTCTCTGTTTATCTCAGATCCACATAGGTACTTTAAGAAACAAGTGAACTGCAGTGTTTAAATATGACTGCAAAATACTTTTCAATTACATAAAAATCCTCATGTTCTCCCAAAAATCTGCTTTTCCAATCAACCAACATCACACATACTCTCTTCTCTAGGCAGAGCTCTGCCTCTTTAAATCAAAATATAGCAGACATCTCCAGCCGTAAGAAATCAATACGACCACTGGGGGTCCAGGGCCTATCAAGCCCATAACAAATACAGTGGTAACAAACATTTTGGAAGGCAAATAAACAGATGCAAGTTGGTTTACACAGTGAACCACAGAACATCTGGCTCTACGCTGGAACTAGACAGCCAGACATTTCTTCCTTACACCACGAGCCAGTAGCTCTTCTTTCTCTCCACTGCATGCGGGGCAAGCAGCCAGAGGTGGGCGGACACTATGCGGAGTTTAAGTTAAGCAGCCCTTCAATTGTTTGGCTCATCCTTTCCTTTTCAGCTTGCAGGAAGACATACCAAAGATCTAGTGTATGTAGTTCTAGACTTGAATGAGATAAAGAAGAGTTCAGCCAATGATGTATCAGTCAAATATTAACATGAAGAGACTGTTAAACCCGTTTTTTTCTCGCTTCTTAATGACAATAATCTGTATTGTTGCCACCAAAGTATTGGCACATTGGCACAATAGCAGCACAGTTCAGAGGAATTATCAAAATAAGTCTTTATGGGAAACTATTTGAGTGTTATTCTACTAAAGTAATAGTCCCAGCCAGAGTGAGCCTGCGAAGTTTTTGCTGTTTATTACACTGCAGACTTGTATTCAGATCATTCCTCCTCCCGAGCTAAGAAGGCAGCCTGAGTCAAAATACTGAGGGCAAAACGTGGAGTCTGCAGCACACATAAGCACGAACTGTCTGGCCCCTCGCTCTAGGCCATAATTAATTTGAGATTTATTTTTATTGGAGAGTTCCAGTCTCGCCTGGCCTTAACCAAACAAAACCAAATGCTGGGCCGTGGATTCGCTTGAATGGGGGAATATTTCTTTAAATTTTGTATTGAGGCGTGCCACATTTCTGACCAATATCTCCTGAATGCGAGTGAGGCACTTGCACGCATAAACTACACGCAACCTCTGAGCCTGGGTAGAACAGAAAAATAACATTATTAGAGTCAGATCAAACATAAATAATCGAGGCTGAGGAGAGATAACCCCTAAAGAGACTTTAAAACTCAAACCTCGACTTTTTGCTTTTACGCGTATTAAGCCCCTGTCTTTTGGAGAGAAATGAGAAACTCGTTTTAAGTATAACCACCCCTTTAAATGACTCTAAGGTATTCAATTTTCTCATAACAAATCAGGAATTGTCCCGAAAGCTGAAACGCCGAGTCTTTCAGCAGTGGTACAAACGCTGAGGCTGGATGAAAAGAGCCCTTATTCAAAGAGGAAAAACTCCTCGAAACATTAACAAGTCTCTCCTGGAAAATACCTTGATTATGAAGATATTACCAAAGCTTTGCCTCTGCACAATGGGCCATTTTAATGAGGCACAATCCGGGCAGTCACCCTCGGCAATATTATGATGGATGTGAGCAAACGCCAAGCAGCCAGCCAAGTCAACTGACACAACAGTGAGCAAAGAGCACACATAGGCCCCACTGTTCAAAGGACATTATGTTGTCATATATGATGATTATATAAAAATAGATCTTAATGCTTTCTGTGTCTCAGGTATGTATTTATGCAGGAGTTGCAGGTATTCACGCTGCGCCATATGAGACGTAGTGCGCATTCTGTTATGTGAAAACCAGATGTGCGCAGTTTGCTTTATTTACATTGTCAGTACTGTGGCGGGGAGAGAGAGAGAGAGAGCGAGAGAGAGAGAGAGAGAGAGAGAGAGAGAGAGAGAGAGAGAGAGAGAGAGAGAGAGAGAGAGAGAAGTGACGTCAAACATGACAGTAAGCCATAACAGAAGCTTTTTGGATCCAAGTCCAAATGTACTGTTTTTAGTTACAGGTGTTGGGGCCACATTATCTTTAAAATTCTTATTTTTTTAATTGAGTATTTTGAACTCGGGCTAACATTGATATTGATGATATTTGTTGTAGAATATGTAAAGGACAGAGACTGAGTGTAAGTTAAGACAAAAAGAGAATACCCCAGTTTTTCTGTCCAACTTTACCTGGTCGTAGAAGCGGTGGTGTCTTACCTTAACGTAAGACGACGTGTCGGGGACAGTCTGAAACATGTCTTCTTGACAGACAGGCCCAGGGGTGCTGAATATCCGGTGGGCCCTGGAAGGAAAACCAAAGAAAAAACATCAATATCACCGGTTCCATTTTTACGCACACTTCACTTCGCTTAATCAGACACCAAAACAATTAAACAGAATTCAACAATTATGAAGACACCGCTTGACCCACACTTGACATGACAGCTCTGTGCTGCACAGCAAACATCCACAAACTTCCGTGGGTTTTCCGAACTTCCACACAGAGCACTCAAAGGTTACACCACTTCCAGCAAAATAAAGAAGTCAAATTTGCTTAATGGCCTCTGTTTGTCTGACTGCACACATAATCCCTTGATTCATTCCGGGAGCACCATGTTTTTTCTCTCTCTCTCTCTCTCTCTCTCTCTCTCTCTAACGTGGTCGGCGATACGTTTTAATTACATCTTCCCATACATTAACAACACCAACGGATGGAAATTACACCACTGAACTACTGCTAACATGGATGAATTACTCCAATAGGAGCTGGGCAGTAAGAAGAAGAGGGCCCCATCCCAACCCCCATCACGTTTTCCCCTCAAGCTTACCACATATTGAAACACTTTTCGCTTTAATAAGTGCAGCTTACAAAGTCTCGGGTGAAAGGGCACTTAGAGGACGGTGTCTTTAGCCCTTCCCTCCCCGTGCAATTATTAGAGAGGCAGTGGCACATACCATCACAAATGGCCGTTATATAGACTGTGTGATTAAGCATATGAACATATATGGACCTCTATATTGGCACCAGGACGCACCTTTACAGTTCGACACATCTCAACAAGGCCATTGGGACGCCCTTCTTCTGTTCAGTAGCCTGTTGAGAGCTCTGACCTGTCAGGATTATTAATCTACAATCAGGAACCTTTTAGCAACAGTGCGTTTTAGTCTAATTATTAGGGGATGCGGATTAAGAGTCCTGTGATCTCAAGCCAGTGGCTGAAAGAGGGATTCAGTCAAAAGAGAAATGAAACAATAAAAATTCAGGAGGAGAAAAAGCTCTCCTCACGCTATAGGAGTTTAATGGCACGATTCAATTTCTGTTTTTTTTTACAGGACAATTTCACGTTTTCAGGAATGCCTGCCTCTTGATAAATTAGCCAAGAAGGAGGGCTTATATATGAACGTGGCACAGTTTAAATGCATGCATGGGACCAATGTTTTTTTTTTTTTTTTTTTTTTTGTCCTCTCAACTCCAGCAGGCAAACGCAGGGCTCGCCTCATAAAGTTCCCCAAATGCATCCAATTTCTGCGCGGTAAAAAGAGCATAGGGTACCGCATCTGCAGCCAATTAGACAGAGGAGGACTGGTGAGTAACGGCGTGAACCTCCCTTCGAGACAGCCCCGTGGGCTGGGACCCCTCTTGTGTTACATTTTAAGCATCTTACCTTGCTGTTATCCATCATAAGCGAGAGCCAACTGATTTCTCAGCTAATACGCATTCCACGCACAGACTTGAATCAGGCTGCGATTAGCTGAACTCACACACTATCAGTATTACTCCACGTGAAAACTCAAATTCATCGTGGATTATGAATGGGGTATAGATATTTAAAACATTTGTGATGCTTACAAACACAAACATCAGCACACAGGTTTGGACGGATGCGTAAATTTTGTTGCACCGTCCGAACCTCAAAGCGTCTGTTCATTTATTTTCTTTACCGATTGACATGCATGTCTTTACAACGTGACTGACATCAATAATACAAATAAAACGAAAGAAAAATGATCGATTCTCCTCGTGCATGCACATCTTCGCCGCAAACTTTCTCAAAGCACAACTTCTGAACTCGAATCAACTTTTTCCAAGGCTGATTTCCACACTCACCTGTCGTGTTCGTGTCGCTCGTCCGATCTCTTTTCTCGATCTGCTTTCTCTTCCACCAATTTTTTATTTTAACTAATTAGTCCCGTCCCGGTGAAGCTGATTCCCCAATACTGATGACAGTGAGTTATTAAGAAAGGGGGCTGAAAAGGAGCGCAGGGTGCATGAATGGAAATGTAGCTGAGATAGGAAAGCCGCGACCAATGAGCAGCGAGAGAAATCCTCCCCTTGCCTGCCGTGTGAGGCCACTGAACCATGAAATAAGGGAAAAGCAGGGAGAAAAGGGCGTCATAAATCTGCTTTATATATCCTTTTTTTTGGTGAAGTAAAATCTAAAAGAGAGTTTTCTTTTTTTAATTATTCAGATATCTTAGAGTCGGAGTTATTATTCTGTGAGGAGATAAATAGGAAACACTTGAAGAGCAGCGGTGGTGCATGTGGTTAAACTGCAGCGTGGATAGTTTGACAGCTTCAAAAACACCCTTGATAAAAACAATATTCATCCTCTTTGAAAATTTCATGTTTGTCCTCTTTCTAGTTAACTTTCCTGTAAAATTAGGAGACGGACAAACAACAGATATCAATAAAAATTGAGTAAGTAAATCATCAATACTTCGTTTTTGGTTTTATTTTTACTGAACTGTTTTATTGCGCACTGATACATTTATAAGGAACGACGTTTTGTGGGGACTTCTTACGCAAAGTAGACAATCTTTCTATTTCTATCAAATAAATAAATAAAAACAAAAAACGTGATGTGGGGAACATCATGTTGGTCTGCACACTCTCAACTGAATCCATCTCAACATTCAGTCACACGCAGGGTGACTTTTGTGGTGTCCGTGATCAGATCTCCTTACATGTTCCTGTCTTTCCTCGTATAGTGACAGTTCCCGCAGGAATACACCCACAGCACGAGTTCCTCTGCAGTGGGTTTGTCTTTTCCTGCCCAGTTGACCCCACTCACTTCACTAACTTCATTTCCTTCACATTGCTCGCCCTCATCTTCGACCAAGAGTTCCCCCCTTCAAAGGATGTGGGGCAATTCACGGCGAGGAAAGTCGCCCAACCTTGGCATTTCATAGCCTCATTAAGGTCGCTATTTCACGCAGACCAACCAAAGTGAAAAAGGAGAAGAAGAAGCCTGGAAGCTTTTAGGTTTTTTTGCACTGGAGGGCCAAGGGTGATACCAAAGATGAGTTTAATTGGAGTTATTTCACCCGCTCCAAAGCATTACGCATGATCCATCTCTAAAAACGCTTATGGGAAGCTACTTTTCTTTCACACATCAGATGAGATCTTATACTTTTGATTTCGTCTGTCTCGATAGGTCAGGTGGCTTTCAAAAACAGAATGTAAAGCCTGGAAAAAATAGATAAAACCGCTAAAATTACGCACAAAAAACACATATAACGACAAACTCCTCACAAGACATAATACGCCCACATTTTAACCTCACTCATTTTTTTACAGTGTTGGGGTCATCTGGTAAAAAGGTCGCCTTTCATCACCGGGTAGACCTTCTGTTTGTTGTACCATTTCCTAATGCAATGATTAAAAACAACAACATTGATAATAGTGTTCCCAGCACGAAACAATGGACGGAAATCCTAACATCCGTTTGACTGAAAAATGGCATTCATGTGCCTGCTGTGTTAGCTTCCTCAGGATACTGTAGAAGAAGTTTTCTAACACATTTGAACAGCAACTACTGATTTCTCAAAAATAAAGGAAAAAATAAGAGACATACAGACAGTGATGGACTTGTTTCTTAGATTAAAATTAACATCTTAATGTAAATGCATATCACATTTGCTTTTGCTTAAAATCTACACAGCAAAAGATTTTAACTTTTGTCAGATCTCTCTTTCTAAGGTGTCATTTCTATTTGATAAATTTACCATCATAAAAATTTATGGACATGTAAGAACAACGAAGGACAAGTGGCAAAAGTTTTTGACACTTTTGGCTAAAACCCACCTCTCTTTCTCTTAAGTTTTACACACACAACTACACTTTATCTGTGCAATCTGTTTCCAATCAAATCTTGTAGTTGAATGAGACTTATCCAGCTATCAAAAACTCTTCTAGTAATACAAGTTACCTCTTTGAAACTTATTACTTTGTCCTGTGTGGTGACAAGGTTGTCTGAGTTTTTTGAGAAGTAAAAAAAAAATCTCACTTTAGTAAGTGCTTTTAGTTTTCTATCTGCTTTTTAAATCAAGAGCATTCAAACTTAATACTTTTGTCATTCACATCAAATGCGGTGATGATACATCATGTGAAAAGCTAAGAGTCCTCTGTGTCTCTGTCTTGGTCAAGCTGACATACATAATTTTGATATAACAGAATCTTCCTCTTTATACGTTTATAGCAAACTTTATCTAACTCTGTCAGCACTAAGGCCAGACAATCTGCTATCCACATATTCCACCACACAGTGCTGTGCCAGTCTTTCCTCACTGGTATGTTAACATTTCAGAGGTCCTTCTCAAGGGATTCCTCTGAAAACACTTGCATTCGAAATGATGTGGGCAACCTACAGACATCTGTGATTACATCTCTTAGAGTAAATGAAGCTCCTTACTCTGAACTGTAATGACTTATTTATTTAGTTGAAGGGGCTACTGAGAGATGATCTGGAGATGGAGATCGGTCCCATTCCAGCACTTTTCTTTCACTCCTAGGGGAGAGGGAAAATGGCAGCGTGGCACCAGGGAAGGCAGGGCCGAATATCAAATCTTTTCACGCAAGCTTACAGGCAGTCAAGGGGCCAGACATGGAACAACATGTAAGGACAGGGTTCGTGTTCAAAAGAGCGGGTAGAGTTTGAAAGATTTACAGAGGCTTATCGACAGACCTGAGATGAATTTTCAAACACTCTTTCTACAACAACCATCACGAAAAACAGAAGCTTTATCCACTTTATCATGTTGACACTCAACAACTGTTGCTATGATGGTGCTGAATCTTCTTCTAACAGCAGAAAAAAAGGCTGTTCAAGAGTTCAAAAGTGTTAAAAGGAGTTTCAAGAAAAAGTTAACATGACTCGAAGCCTATCAAAACCCTTACGTTGCATAATCATCAAAACCGACTCACACAGAGTGCAGACAGCAGCCGGCTCGTGTGTGCAGTGATAATTAACAACGGGAAGTATTAAATTAAAGGCAGTCATTTTATGAGGCAAGCATTTATGAAGGTAATAGCATCCCTATAAATTAACGACCTCCCAATGCCTCCTGATGTGTTGCCACTCACTAGGTCTGCAGCTAACCGCTGATGCGTCCACTGTGTGACCTCATCTGCACAGTCTTGGTATTCTTGCCCCCGGGGGTTTTGCTGAGACTAGAGCTTCGGAGAGTGGATGTTTGTGCAGGACATATGGTGTCGAGACCAAATGCATGTTGTCATTACGCACAATATGTTTTGGTATGCGCTTAATCAAAAGAGGGGAGAATGGATGAGGGGCTAAAGTCTGGTGAATGTCTATTCTTTAGTGAGTGTGCGTAGTATCACTTTTCAAAAGCACTAAATACTGTGAATTTCTTTTTTTTTTTTCTGAGGGTAAATACATGGATTTCCCAGACCACTTATCTTGTGTCAATTCAGCAGAAAGTGTGGACACACCCTGCCTAGAATCCAGACCGGGCATGGGAAACAAGCCGCTCACTTTACATCTTAAATTAATCTTGGTTTCCAGGGGGGGAATCATCTCTACACGAACAACGTTAGTCCCTGAAAATGACTGCTCGGTAAAACGCAGAACAAGCAAGAGCAGGAGGGAAAGCAGAACCATTTAGAAAGCCTAAATCATCCCCTGAACTATAAATCCACTGACCACTCATCATTCAGCAGCATTTTAAGAAGCCCTTAAAGAAAAACACTGAGTGAAATGAATATGCTGTCACCTCTCATTTGGGTCTGGCCCGCTGGCTCAATAAGAAAAGTGTTGTTCCCTGGCCTGAGCTGAGCTCTCAGGTTTAGGGTTTACCCTTGTCCCGCATTCTCAAGGCTTTTACTTTGAGGCCCGCGTCTCTCTTTCCTCCCCCACGTCCCCCCAGACATGTCTGACAGGCTGAACTCGATGTGGGCTGCTCACCAGACTACAAAAATCATTCATCTGTGCCTTCAGACGGTCAAATCTGGATCCAATAAAGGGAGGTTGCCTATTGATCCTATTCATGGGGAAATGCCACGTAAGACCACTGGAGGGCTCTCTGGTTCAAGTTTGGAGTACCGCATTGAGGAGTTTGGTACCCCTTTTTACAGAATTGGAGACTTAATGAACAAGTCTGGGGCCCCTTTTTAAATCATAATGTATGATTCACTCCCAAAAAACTAGCATTCTTAAGGAAACTCTATTTTCTTTTTGATTTATTTTCACTAAATGTCTCATAATCTATCAAACACAACATGCTGTATGAAAATACGACCTGAAAGGACTGACATCTGTACGCCAAGGTGTTTTTTTATTCTACTCGAAACCACTTGAGGCGTTAAAAATAATCGTGTGAGGTTAATGAGGCCAAAGACGACAACAACACCCTTCGTTTTCCACCTGTGGCACAAACAAACATGCGAAACAGGAAACATATGCTGCCATGCACTTTCGCAGCACCTGCTGAATGAAGGCTGAATATTGTTTGGTTTCAACAATCTATTGAATCAAATAAAAGGGGTCACACAATAACACAAGGACATCCTCACACAGAGAGGGACCAGGAAAAGGGATAGGAAGGTGTCTTAGAACGCAAGAGGAGAGGGACCTTTAAGGAGTGAGTCACAGATACTTTAAGGGTTGTGTTTATGTGTGGGTGAGGGCACTACCCCAAAACGCCTAGGCAAACCACAGCATTCCACGCTGGGTCTTAAAGAGACAGAGCGACGCTGTCATCATGCGTATTTGGGGAGTAAAGTGTTAACATATGGTGAGGGCTATTTGAGACGGCTGGTGAGACTCACAGAAGCCGGTAGGTGGCCGTGCCAGCTCTCTGATTGTGTTCTGATAGAGGGCCTCATCAGCTCAAATTCTGTGTGTGTCTGAGTATCACAAATGGATCAAGAGAAATCCAGCCTAAGGGTCAGAAAATAATTCACAGTCCAGAAAGCATCATTATTTCACATCAGGGTTTTTCCTCAAAGCAAAGCAGATATGTTGCTCTGTTTTTGTTTTTTTCTGTAACACTGCTAGAGATGTCAGCTCAACATGTGC